CTAGCCACCAAAGCAGAGATCCACTGGTCACAGCTTTCGCCAAAATCTCTGCCAAGAAGACTGCCAGCCTCAGGCCCGCATACACAACGAAATGTCAACTGGCAATCCTGTTTACGTCCGCAGTCCTCCCAGCACATTCCTCTCTAGCCGTCCAGCAAAGCATTTGAAACAAGCTGGCAAAGGTTCCCGCGGAGTGTCACTCCAATTTTTCTAGCATTGCCCATATCTTAGGCAAACCACTTAGGATCCCTCAAAGCACAAGGAATTGCCACCTGGGCCTGGCACACTTATTTCCCAAACATGTTCTTTGAAAGTTGCCGAACATCCATAGCTACCATGAAAAGGAAAATCACGAAAAACCTTTTGAAGCCCTTTCAAGCAGTTGGCAATGGAGTAAAGCTTTGGGTTGTCCTTCTGGCTCTGGCTGAGGAATAGACAGGAATTGCTAAGCCAACTCAGGAAGCGAGGATAGCGAGAGCTGCCTTCACGAAACAATCATGACGTGTAGAGTACTAAAAATCATCTTCAACAGCCTTCTGTTGTTTTAACTGGCAAATCTATGTTCAAAATCAGCAGGCAGGAAAGGTGCGTACCAGCCTCAGGAAGCGCTGTCGAACTCCCTGGCTTCAATTTGAAAGCTCCCCAAAATGCTCTGCACGCGGCTTACGCCCTACTGCAGACGTCGGAGTATCGCTAAATCTGCCAACAAATAAGCTCTTCCGCATGAACACTAAAGCTCAACACTGATAAAAAGAACTATTCCACTATGGTACTAATTAAGTTGACAATATCCATCACTGTATACATTTCTGTTATTGTTATTGCTGGTGGCAGGCAGCGCAAAAAGAAGGAGGGCAACAAGAAAATCCTTTTATGGCTCGCGTTCTGGTGCCTAGAAGTCTTAAACACTAGACAGGACACAGAAAGAAGAAACTGTACATTGCATTTGTACATTACATATTACTTTTTGAACTTGAGAATACATACGGCACATGACATATGCGATCCGAAATGGCTGCGGGGGCGAAACAGGACTGCTTTTGTACATGACTGTTGATGTACCAGCACTCCCCCCGTTCTGCTTTGTACAGAACGCCGAACAGATGTATATGTACACTTGTTCTTCCCGAACTGTACTTCCTTCCCGGAGGTAAAGCTGTTCGAAAGGGGATAATACTTTCTATCTTGGGGAGTTTAACCACTGAATTAGGGTAACTCCGCGTGGAACGTACGCCCCTTCTCGCACGCCTGCGTAATGACGACCACATCCACAAATTCCAGCCAAGGAGATCTCTGAACCCAATCGAAGACTGTTACCGATTTCTCCCATCATGCGCCCTTGAGGGCCCGCTACCGTAAGCGTAGTCCTATATAAATCGAGAATATTCCTCCGTGAGTCCTCCGAAGAGACAAACGAGATCAAATGCGGTATGTCATTTGCGCGCGTGCATGGAATACTCGGGTCATGCACTGTCATGTTCCCCACTATATATTGCGGTTGATCGTGTGACTCACCATCGGAGTAGGACTGACCGGTAGAGTTTCTTCCTGAACCGTGAGGTCTAATTTTTTGATCAACACCTTAAATACTACACCGTCCGGTATCGGTAAGGAATTTTGGACGATGCGTATGGTGCATCCAGACCTATGCATCAGCACTTTGAACTCTACTACTGATCGATCCTCATGAACGCTTACCAAATTTCCCGGCAGGCTGCCAGAGGCTAACCGATCACGATATGTCAGCATTCGCTGACACGTTGATACCAGATTCAAGACTGCTATGACCTCTCCCCGAGGTTGACCCTTATTGACTGGTGGATCAGGAGGTCTCGAACTACTCTCTCTAGCATCTTCCCGAAGCCTAAACTAAGACCACGGAACACGGGTGAGACAACTGGAGGCCTTATCGGAGCTGGCGTAGCGGTCTTCTGACTTCTCAGTTGATCACTGGTCGCCTTAGGCTTAGCTTCCTGCTGTTCCTCCTCAGAACTACTATCTTCCGAGGAGTCCGGAGTTGCGGGAGCTGGGACCGCTTGACTGACTCCTGTAGACTGTGAATCTCGAACCTCCGCAGTCGGTTCCTCATCCGGTGGTTCACTTTTAACGACTGGTAGTTCCTCTACCGGAGCGGCCCTTCGACTGGTCTTGACTTTGTTCTTTTTAGCAGGAATCACTGCTTTCTCCTTACTAGTGGAGGTTGCCGCGGCAGCTTTAACTTTAAGGGTTGGAGCAAGATATGCCTTTGGTTGCTCAGGAGCAGATTCCTTTACCCCTTCCGGCTTTTCGGACTGAGTCCTTTTTCGACGTTTAGGAGGAGCCGGAGGTTGAGGAATGGTCCGATTAGCGGATTTCTCCTTTTTCTGCTGAAGACTACGTCTAGCTGAGCCTTTAGGATTCTTTTCTTTTTGTGTTGGTTTTCAAGGCTTTTCTCCTCTCCCTTGTTGACATGGAAGCGTCTGGTTCCGAGATAGTTCTAGGCTTGCTTTCCTCCAGTTCCGTTGAAGGTGTCTTAACTGATGGAGGTTCAGCCTCAGTACTACTGCGACCCTTTGAAGCACGTTTGAAGCACGTTTGCTTCTTGGAGGTTCTACAACCGAAGCAGAATTGACTGCACTAGTAGTGTGGTCCCTTCGGGCGCGATTACTTCTTGGAGGCGTAGGAGGACGAAACTGTATCCCACGCCGCTTGAGTTGCACCATGTCTACCACTGGCAGTCGCCTTGTAACGGAAGGTAGTCCCTCTACGCGGGACTCGAGCTGGACTTGGAGCGCGGCCGTGATCCCCTGGAGGCTCATCCACCGGTTCATTTTGCTCCGGTACTTCTGACCACTCCTCATCCTCTGGATAGAAGATATTGTTAAATCTCCATGAACCTCGCGACTTCCGGTGATTTTCTCCCAACATAGAACGAGGCGGGGCGTGAGCTGGTTCTACTGGCCGAGAATGTCTATTAGACTGCCACGAGGGCCTTTTTAACCACTTGGCTCTGGCAGCTTTAACCGCCTGTTTCTCGGCAGCAGCGAGTACTCGCGGGTCCTTACTACAAAGGTCTACAAATGCAGTTTCGCGAAGCCCCTTCAGCTCCATCGGGTGCAGATAAGCACCAACCTAGAGGAAACAGCTAGATTTCTGGGAGCACTACCGTCGCTAGCTCAAATCCAGCTGGTTTGTGACGCACGAACAAAAAATGTTCGTTGACTGAGTTTCATTCCTGGACCTGAGGCGCACAACTGAGAAACCACCATCACAAGGTACACAAACCAATATCGCAGGTCAACACGATGACTGGCAAGACCACATGATGACAGGTGCCATCCAGCAATGAATTTCCCAAAGGCGGCAAACGAACAACAACCGTCCACCATCAAACTGAATGACTTCATGAGCGCCCTTCTGCACTACAGGCAACACCAAAAAACCGGAGCACATAGCGCATTATGATTTGGGAAATGCGACGACTTTCGGCTGCTCAAATTGGGAACCAAACATCAGACCAATCCCTCGCACGCATGCACGCACACATCGCTTCCATTTGAAATGTTTTGGATGTTTCGCAAAATTCGCCCATGTGTTTTCCAAAATGAACTCTGCGCCAACATGTCTCAACAATGTAGCTTGCCAACAACTTGTCAACGTGGGTCGCCCTCGTGCACATGTTTTTTGACTTGGTGTTTGTGTGAGGCGTGAAGCTCCTTTACAAACAACAATCTTCCAATGCCAGATTTGCTACTTTCCTAGCGTGGCAAAACCTACCGCAAATTGCAGCTGCACACATCTGAGAAACTTTCATCAAGAAACAATGCATGCACGGTGCTGAGCATGGAGAGTCCTGCATTGTCGCAAACACAAAACTTCAAAATCATAATTTTCAAGCTGCATCCGAAATTTAGAGGGGACAGAACCTGACATGAAATGGCTCCACAACACTTGACTCACTCGGATTAACATGTCCACTTGCAATTGCGGCATCAAACATGGTTTGCATTGCAAGGCCCCAAAGAGCAGCGTTTTGTCGCACAGCTTCACACGCCCGCGTTCCCCGCGCAGGTTGGTGAGCCCAGGCAATTTCGACTTGAAAATGGAGCCAAGCTTTTACTGCATGGCTTGCGTGTAGGCATCTGCTGCACGGCTTACATCCACAACTTTGCTGCATTTCATTTTCTCAAAGAAAGACTTTGAGAATGGCTCAGGCAAGAAGATTGGGCATTTAATGCCCAGGGTGAAGTCCTTTGTCATCTCAGCAAACATCCACCCCGGAGGCACATACAAGCATTCACTTTTGCCAATGGTCCCGAAGTAGGCCATGCACCCATCCGCCGCCAAGAACTGCTCAAACGTCTCCTTCGTGCAAAACTTGAGGAACTGAATGCAAGCAGATTTGACCTTCGGATCGTAGAGGTCCACATCTCCAGCGGCATCCGGAGTAGTCTTGCCCTGAACATACTTGGCCAAAGGAAGGTAAGGCATCAGCACAACCTCGCGAACTCCACTGGTCGAAATGCGAAGGCTTGGATAGAAGTGCTTCTCAACACCAAAGGTTGCATGGCCTTTGACAATCGCAAAGCAAGTGCACAGCATGCTCCTGTGCAAGCTCTCACTCATGTCGGCAGAGCTCGTTTTGATGGTGGACATTTCACCCTTGTGGAACTTCAGCTTCTCGGGCAAAAGCTTCTGAGCAGCGTCCACAACTTTCCCCACACAATCCATGTCCATGCCCAACTCTGCACGAGGCTGCGCACCCGGCTTGCCATTGGAGGCGTCCTTCATGAGCTTTTGCAATTGGGCTAGAACAACCTTCACTTCTGCACTCATGAGCTGGGACATTGCATCCTCACCGAAGCTGGCGATGACTGGCTTGTCCAACTCGAACTCCTTTGTTCCATGATCACGGCATGTGGGCAGAGCTACGCAGGCCTCTGCACGAGCAAAGATGCTGTGCACCGCCTGCCCTGACGGAGCAGCTGGCTTACTCTTGGCAGCAGCCACTTTGTTTGCAGCGGCCACGCGCGTCTTCCTCACCTTCTTGATGTCATTGATCACAGCCTGGTTTCAATCTACTGGAGCTTATCGCATTTTGCATAAACGGCGGGGGTTGGGCACAGCTTAAGGTAAGTTATGGTCAGGTTGCTTGTTCTCCTTTAGCGCAAGCTGGATCCAAGGTTAGTTACAAGAACCTGGGAGTTAATTCAATCCACCACACATTCGATTCCAGGCCTGGCAAGTATTAAGGAGGTCGTTGATGGGAGCCTTGGTGTCATTGAACGTTTTCTTGTGCGCCTTGATGTCCTCCGCGCTTTCGCAATTGAGCACCTCATCCTTCAACAGGCTCAACTGAGTGAAGGTGACTAGTGACGCGAACTGCTGGCATGGAGGGAACTGGCCAAGTTGCACCAGCCCGGCAGCTGTGCTAGCAGCACTTGGATCCTGGGGCGACGCCTTCGCCTTTGCCGGCGAATTGCCAGATGTTGTGCTTTGGAATTGCTTAATCAGCTCAGCGAGTGATTGGCCATTCACAACACCATCACCGACGGCTTCCAGGAACTGCAAGCGGACAGTGGCAATCTTCAACTCACCACGGTAGTGGGATTGCTCCTCCTCAGTCAACGCCATGATCGCTGCGATCAAGGCTTTGAGCTCGGTTTTGCGTTCACTCTGGGCCTTGCGAAGCTTGTCCTCCTGCATAGCCAGCCCCTTCTGGGCATTGTTGATTGCACGATCTTTGTCAAACCAAGATCGCACCTTTGGCTTGGGCTCCTCCCCGGGCTCGTCCTCCTTTTCACTCTCGGCACCTGAACCTTCGGCTTCATTCGCCTTCTTCTTGTCATCCTCCTCCGGCAAGAGGTCCTGGATATTGCCAATGTTCATGTTGGCCTCGTCAAAGGCTTGGCCAGCGCCACCTTGCACCAGGGATTGCTCCAACCGGGAACCGCTTGGAAGCACTTTTGCCATGGCCTCTGAATGGTTGCCTCCAACTTGCTGGTGATTGGAAGTCACCCTCTTGGCATACTTTTCGATGGTGCCGGCGTCGACCTTCTTCTGTGGCTTGTCTTGGAATTCCAACTCGCGCTCTTTTGCCAACTTGTTGTAGTTGTAGACCATGTCTTCACGAAGCACCGCAACCCGAAGGGGTTTTCTTGTGGGGCCGTTCTTGTCATAGATGACGTCCGGCTCCCCAACTCGCGCTGCCAGAGCGGACCACTTTGCCTCCGCTTCTGTCTCTGACAGAGCCCCTCCGTCAACCGACATCCAGAATTTTATTGCCTGCCTCTCCCACATCAACTGCGAATTGCCGCTGAGCATCACGCCTGACTCGGCCTTGGCCCTTTCCTTGTACTGCACTATGCTCCAAACGAGCTTGGAGGTTTTTCCTGCAGTCCAATTCTTGTAGGCCTTGCCGTAGCTGTCCAGCATCTTTTTGCATTTTGCGGGATCAGCTTTCGCGTCCTTGAAGAACTCCAGTGCGTCAGGCCCCTGCGCCCGAGCCATGCGCCCAATGTTGTCCAGCGCTTTCTTACACCAGGTGTCAACCACTTGGTTGAGAGCAAACTCTCCCTCGGGCTTTGTTTGGCCACATGCTCTGCAGCACCGAAAGCCTTTGCCAACCCTGCGAGATTTGTGCCTGCCCTGGGACGCTGGCATGGTAGGAGACTCTTGGAACCCAAGCCCCATGTCATCATCTTCATGATCAACATCAGCTATGAGGCCATCAAGTTGGGCCTTGCTAATGCCCAAGTCAAACTCGGAGAGACCCCGCTTCATGCCTGACACCATGTTCAAAGCTGTAGATTTGAGCGCAGCTCCTACGTGTCTGCTTTCCAGACAGCTGCACTGAAAACCTGGAATCAAGCGGGCGAAACAAGTTCAAACATCAAGCTGCTTGCATCTGCGACAGTGCACTCCTCTGCAACCAAAGCGCAAAATTTCTCTTTGCATCAACCTAATGCAGGACCCGGAGCAGGAGTACAAACAAGAAGCTCCACCATGTAATTTGTGTGGCTCAAGTATCTCACTCAGCTTGGCTACAAAACATTGAGAGTCCCTGGCACACATGCATGGTCAACTCAGATCACACATGCCGCTCAAAACCTTTACTTTTCAATCAGCTGCACTGCCACAAGTTCTCCACTGAGTACGGAAATCAACGGAACCTGCATGCTGTCTGGCACTGCTGAACAAGCCTCTAGAGGCACGCTGCTGACAACAAAGCTGCCATCAACACACTGCCCACTGCAGGGAGAACCATCGAATTGCCGGTAAGTTGCTGGACTTGATTAGGCGGCAAAGAAGCAAGGAGCTCGGGCAAATTCGTTGCCCTCTGCCAATGTTATTGGGAGGCACTGAACACAAAAATACTCTGCAGGGGTCAAGGGCCGATTTGCTTTCATTGCAAACAAGACGGAGTTGCGGAGCAAGCAAGGAATGATGTGACTCATCCTGGCGCGATCGTATGCGCTTTGAGAAAGATCCACGAAAAATTCGGAATCCAAAGGCAGCTTGCCTTTGCTGTTCAAAACTGACCTGTAATTAGTCAACTGGTTTCTCAGCCAGGGGCTGAGCAACAAGCTGGATGCAAGAATCACATCATCGGGCAATGCCACGCCTCGCTGCTTGGCTAAGTGCGCGGCATATTGTTGTACGTCCTGGGGGGTTGCCCTCAAAAACATGTCAGCATTCGCAACCATCTTGGCAGCAATGATGCCAAGGAACCTGTCCTCTTCAAAGAGAATAAGAGGGGGGACACGCTGCCGCTTGCAAAGGTCCCTTCGAACAAGCACTGTGAACCTTCGGGGCCGACTGCAGGGTATGCCCATCTCAACTGGCCCAAACACAACCGTTGCTGATATGTACTGCTCGTCCATCATTCTCTGCAGGATTTCTACAAAATTTGGAGTGCATTCGTTAATAATGATGCTCGGCTTGGACACACGCAGCCCATGAAACCACACTAGGCATGGGATGTTTGCCTCATCCAACCACAAGCCGTGCTTTCCTTGCGTCGACCAAGGTGTGCATGTGTTGCCACCAACTTCGACGTGCCATGTGTTCTCGCTGGGGGAAGGCCACAAAGGACATGTCTGCACATGATTGTAGCAGTGGCAGCTGCACGTCCTGGTCAGTCCACTTGACTCTAGAACTCGCAACGCTTGGACAGCAAAGTCACGGCCAATTTGCTGAGCCAACTCCCTTTTTCTTGCAGTGGGTCGCCCTGCTGCTTGCGTGTCATAGGCGAAACGCGATTGTCCCTGCAATTGCTGCAAGCGTTGCACACACTCGGGGCTCACAGTCTCCAGGATGTCTCCAAACACATGTTCACTGTGGAAACGGGAGGCAATCAACATCTTTCTGCAAAGAACGTCTACATCCCTGCATCCATGTAACACGAACTCTGGAGAACATTCCTGCTTCTGGAGTGCATTCTGCAGGAAGGAACATGCAATCTCAGGGACTCCCAGCCCGGAATATGAAGTGGTCACAACTACCTTGACTTCATTGAGTTTGCGAAGAACACAGCTTAGTGGAAAGCCACAGTCACTCACAGCAGCAAGCATGCGCGGCAACAACTTCTGCGCCCACAACATGGTCTCCTCGAAGTTTGCGGGCCCACTGGGCCCACATTCATCGGCATGGCCTTCTGGCTGTTCCGATTGCTGCGACCTCGCTGACCTGCACAAGTAAGTGCTTCTGCGAAAATAGCTACCACAGGCTTCAAGCGCAAGCTCTACATGTTTCTAGCTGGCTCATCAAACTGGACCATCGCAAGTCAGTGAAAAAATTCTCACCACAGCATGTGTGTCTCTGCCCTCAAATGCGCAAAGACATCATGACAAGCCCCAGCTTCCGATCATAGGTTCAAACGTATGCCCGCCAAAGGAGCTCAAGACTGGAAAGCAAAGCAGTCAGCACCTGGATGTTCTCGGCCGTTTCAATGAAGGCAAGACTTCACCATCAATGTCTGGCTCCAGGCAAGGAAACATGTTGCAATTGTGTTCCGAGCATACTCAAAACTTTGATGCAACTACAACCATGCATCTATCACTAGCTGCATGCTGCTGCGCTTTCAAAGTTTGCAAGTGTCAGCCTGAACATTGATAAATTCGGGCGATGTCCTTATTACACACTGTGTTTGAAGGATTGCTGCCATGCGCCTGAAGCAGCAGCACACATGTACTCTAAGCTGTGACGCATAAAGGAACATCAGTCAACAATCCATACCAACAACCAACCCTGGCACTCCAACAGATTCCAACATAACAACTTACACAGCGAAGGAATCAGCACAGGCCCCATTTGAAATATCATCAACCGCTACACATCAAATCCCTGAGCGAAGACCTGAAATTGCGAAGGTTCCTAGTCAACCCCAAGCCCTTGACTAATGGGGCATTACAATTTCCCTCAAGTAGCCACTGCTGAAGTTGCGGTGCCTGTTTTCCAACATAACAATACTAAACATCCCCCCTTTCTCTTAAGTTGGAATAGTTACTCCCAATGAATTGCATCAACCAATCAAGCGCTGCCCTTTGTTTGGAACGCCACCACAATCCTATGTTGTCCTACACCCCGGGCGAAAGCGCGCAACTCTACACACATTTTGGAGCCACGAAACCTGCCTGGCAAGGATTTTTGTGGAATCCTAGCCACAAACCCTAGAATGCAGCCCCAGGACTCATTTGACCATCGAACCCAGAATGGAGGTGGAGTAGTAGCAAACCCAGCAAAAACGGCATCGAGCAGGCATCGAGCGCATCGAGCGCGGCATCGAGCAGGCATCGAGCAGGCATCGAGCGCATCGAGCAGGCGTCGAGCAGGCACCGAGCGCATCGAGCAGGCATCGAGCAGGCATCGAGCGCATCGAGCAGCCCACCCCGAAATAGCCCATTCCCATCAGAGCCTTGCTGGAACCCCAGACCGACCCCCAAAGGCTACCAGAACCCCAAAACAATGCCTCGGCAGCAAAGTCAAGCGAAAACCCTTGCCAAAATGGAAACTGCGTTTTTGAACCCTCAAACCCTTGGTCTCTCGGGCGCAATCACTTCTGGCTGGTTTAGGTTGATCTATCAGCCTGCAATTCAAAGCGGGGGCCCCGAATTTCAACATATTCTGTAGTGAATCAGAGGTCAGCAACCAAGGTTTGGGAAGCATAATGTAACATGTTTCAGTACATGCCCGGGGACAAAGAGGGTTGGAGATAGAAGGAGGAGAAACTACTCAACAGGCATTGCTCACAATGTTTTTGACTGCTCACATAACAACAAACTGACAACATGTGCAAATCTTGCACACCCCTGCAGCATGCTCATGAAAAGAAGCTCTCCAACACATGCATTGCTTGTTTTCCCACAGGCAACATCAACCATGAATCCACGCAATCAACCGGAGTCTGAGACATTGTTACTAGATGAGCTAGATCCGCTGGAACTACCTGAGCTTGAGCTGGAGGAGGATGAAGATGAGCTGTGGTCGCCTTCTTCATCTGAAACTGGAGCGGGCTTTGCTTTTGCGGCCAACACTTTGGCTTTGGATTTTCTGCTGGGCTCCGATTGAACTTTTGCCTTCGCCTTTGTCTTTGCCTTTGCTGAGGGCGCAGAGCGACGCTGCTCAGCATCCACAATATCATCGGGCACTACATCTTCCGCAGGCCCTTCATCTATTCGCTTACTTTCAAGGAAGTCTGCGCTCAAATTGGACAAGGCACCCCGATCAAGCACCTTCATGCGCACATGGTCTCTTTGCAAATGCACACTCCGGGCTTGGGAACACCAATGCTTCAAGGCCTTGAGGTCTAAGGCTTTGTCTTGTGGGGAATCACTCTTATGGCTTAAATATTTCTTACACTCGGATTTCTGGGAGCGTTTATGGAACGGACAGAGCGCCTCCAATGCCCCATGCGGCCGTGAAGGTTGCTTTGGCTGCAAGCTACTGATGCGAAAGACCCCCCAGTGCTGCACCACACCAGGAACCACAAGATGTGCACGGGCAACCGGGGCAACCCTGGCGGCATGACCTGAGTTTGGGGCAGAGCGTGTGTCAACTGCGACAGCACCACCTGCAACAGCATCACCTGCAACGGATACTCCAGGCAATGATTCAGGGCGAACGCTAGAGGAAGCTGCATCAGGCATTGGGGATGGTTCCTCAACGGCTGCCTGATCACAATCTTGCATGCTATCTTCTTGGTCCATGAGCTGCTCTAACTCTCGCACCAAGCTCGATGCGCTGCTAGCTTGTGACATGTTATCGCCCGCCACCTCATCTTCAATCATCGGTGGCTCTGCTTCAGCAGGAGCTGCAGGCAGTCCATCTCCTTGCGCATCATCAGCAGCATCATCAACGTCATTCCTCAAAACCAACCGGGGCCGAGGGCGTTGCACAGGCAGGCTCTTGCCTTCCAACAACCGCCCATAACACGCGGCCGGATTAGGGGACCAGTGCGGAACCAACTCAAGCTCAAGCCGCTCACACTCAAGCAGGCAAGTCAAGTATGCTTTATGGGGAAGGGAGCCAGCAGGGCAATACCAAGTTTTGGCATCACCTGCTTTATATTGCAAGGCTAGTCTCTGATTTCGATTACTTGGTAAATTGGCCCAACCCCAACCTGCATCCATAAGCTTGCGAACCAGTTCGTACGCAGTGCAATC